GTCCCCAGCAAGGTATAAATTATATCTGAGGTCTACGAGATCTGTCACTTGGTCAAAAGAGGAGGAGGGGTCCTCTGTATGAAGAAAGCCAGACCCTTGAGAAGCCAGATCTTCCCTGGGTGGCAGAGGAGGAATACAATTAAGCAAATATTTGAGGGAGCCTAGTGACAGATTTAGGGTCTTTTTCATCTAGATGTTTGCCACTGTTTTTTACTTTACTCCATCGACATGACTTGATTAGACAGGATATTGACAAGCAAACTAGTTATGGAAAGGAGAACTAGAGAATCAAATAAAGGATAGAAAAAGAGTAAAGAATCAGTGCCTACCTACCCATTTATACTAGAGTAATTAGGAAGATGAAGGCAGAGTGCCCACGAGCAGCACATTTTAAATACCTGTACTGGCAAGGGCCTTCACACATTCAGCCTCCCCTGATTCTGTACAGAATAAGCTTTCTCTTAGGTTATTAGAATTCTCCTGTACTTAGATTCCCTAGCCTGTGTCATCTCTTCTGGTGTTTGACCACCCTGTCTCTTCAGTAGATCTTTCTTGTTATGTAACCTGAGTCTTACGTGCTAAAGATGAAGCCTAGGTCTCCTTATTTGGCTTTTAATTTTCCCACTGTCAAGGCAAGTATTCCCATTCACAGCCAATTGGCGTGTATAGCTCTATCTACCAATGTTCTCCTTTTCTATTTGTATAGTTTTTAGTGGAAGACAAACTAGAGAAGAGGATAGCAATTCTGCCTCAGGGATTGATTTTGGGGAGCAAATAGATTGAAAGATAACACAGAGGCTGTCAACTCAGTCTTTTAAAGGCTAGCTTTTTGTTTTCAGAAGCAGATGAGGGGGTAGTTGGGAATAAATCAGAATATAAATCATAACCAGTAATTCATCAGAAATGGATCTAGCCCCGTTTGGTTTTTCCCTTTGCTGAGTGATATTTAAATGAGGGCTCCTGAATTACCAGGCAGGGAAGGCAGAAAGTTCTAATGTTGCTCTCAGGCCTCAGGTGGAGAGTACTCTGATTTCTGCTTGTTCAATTCATTTCTATTGCCAGCAGTGCTGCTTGCTTTGTCTCATATTTCTGTAATTCTTTCATTACCATAGTAGTTGAAGAATTAGGGACTGTGTGACCTCTGGGCGTAAAATTCTCCAGCACGCTGGCTTTCTGAATTTAAGAAGGTACCTGAGACTTTCCATTCCTGAAGAGCTTGGTGCTTGGTAATCTTGTCCTGTCTGTCTCACAGCCACCAAATTCAGTCATTGAGAGCTGGAGGCTGTGATGCTGACCTTTGCTCCCCCTGCTGGCTATGTTAGTTTTCTCAATCATATTTATTAATTTATGAAGGCTACACAAATATTTCTGAAGTCATTACTTGGTGCTAGGCAGAGGAGAGGGGTGATTTATGAAAGTATCACTCATTTCTCCTTTTTTCATTTCCTTCCCACACCATCTTATGATTAGAAAGAATCTCATTTAATTCTAAACCTAGGTCTGTGAACTCCTTGAAATCATAAACATTTGTGAATGTTTATTTTTCTGGTAACAAGGTTCATAAATTTCATAAGCCTATCAAAGGAGTCTGCTGTACTTCAAAAAAGGTATTAACATTAACTGATCTAGCCTCTCATTTCTCCAGTGAGGAAGCTAAGTTCTAGAGAAAGGTAGAACTTGACTTAATGGCTGATTCAGACAATAATGCAAGGATTTTAGGAGTTTAGAGACATTTTCTGCTTTAGTGTCAGAATTTTTAGTGTTTATGCTTTCACATTTTGTATCTGTCAGGAAGATTCTAGGTATCTCTTCCTGTCCTTCTCTTCCTTCTCAAGACATGTTCAGTTTCCTCTGTATAACCAATATTCAGTCTCATGTCAGCCAGTTCTTTGGTACCTGTGGCTCCTTTCTTGAGCTGTGTTTCTTGAATCTAAGCTAACACTTGGGTAGTATGTGAAAAACTGCTCTTCCCTGTCAAAGCCTTTAGCTAATTCGTTTCTTTTCACCTGAAATCCCTAGGCTTGTGGCTGGCAGATTTGAGCCCTCAATCCCGGAGGAGCTCTTCATTTTAAAGAATTTGGCACAGAGTCAGGGAGCAAAATACCTGCTTAGCCATCTGGAGCTGGGAGTGGTATCTGGGAATTTCTCCTTCTGGTTTTTACTGTCTTGATTTTGCTTTATAAATAGGGTTGAGGGAAGAGCATCTTGTTTCTAGTTGGTCAAGATCTGTTGCCAAGCCAGGGTACTACTTTTTTGGCCTGGCTATAAGAGACTGAAGAACTTTCTAGGAACCTCAATTAGATTATTACTTGTGTGCTTTCAGCTCTGTAGATAGCACCCTCTAACTCCACAAAGACTTCTTGGTCTCCCTTCCCCAAATGAATCAAATGAAGTATTCAGTCATAGCCCCTAAATATCCTGTCTACCTTCTCCAAATACTCTCCCAATCCTCTTATGGTAGCATATCATGATCTTACCCCACAGTGTTTTTTTACTATATACATTGTGAACAGACTTAATTCAGTGCTTTTTCATAGTCCATCTCTCCTATTTTGGCTTACAAGACATACAAATATTTAAAAGGTCTGCTTTTTAAATGTTTTTGCTAATGACTATAATTTTTAGGAAGCTGCAGGTCATCCCAAGGCCCACAGGGGGCAGCACGAGGAATGGCGCTTCCCTTCCAGTCCTCTGTGTGCTGGTGGTGGGGGTACTGGAAGATGTTGATATTTTTCACGTGGCTTCAGAAGCCCCTGGTTGAGATCAAAGAGTCCTTTGCAGCAGGCTAGTTGCTTGTTCATTGTTGTTACAGCTCTCCTGAGGAGTCCAGTCTTGTTTTCTTGATAGTAAAAACATACGTGAAAATCCGTCTGAGCCACCCAACCTCCCACAAACCCATCTGCCTAAACATCATTTCCAGGCAACATTAGCATTTGAGGTGAAGTTCTGTTATACACTCAGGCTGTGGCTCTCTGAAAGTCAGTGCATCACAGAACTTTGTCTCGAAAGCTTTCTAGCAGCTACCCATTTGGGAGACCTTTTAAATTCCTTGAACATGGTCCTAAGCTTGTGAGGTCTTTCTCAATAATCGGCATTTAATGTGTTACAAGGTCAAGCTTAGTCCATTGTCCAGAAAGCCCATTTCTCAATAGCTGGGAGTTATTTATAAACTTGCCCTTTGTAGAAACTTTAAAAAATGAAATTACATTATCAGTAATGGCTTCTGGCCCTTTAAATTGTCTGATTTTATGGTTTGAGAAGAGCTCCTGCCCTTCCCCACTACTGAGAGGTAAAGGCCCCAGACTGAAGTGGAACCAGCTGTAGTCAGGAGGTGGCAGGAGAAGTAAAGGAGAAGCTGCTGGCTCCAGCTGTAGCAGAATGGAGAATTAAAGCTGCATTAAAGCTCTTGCCTAAATTTTCAGTTTTATTTATTCCTTGGGAAGTCGAAATGACCAGCCTTTTCTCTCGTGCCTTCCTACCTCTTTCAGAGCTGTAATAAGTCAGATCTGGTCTCCTCCTTGCCTTCCTTTGCCTGTCTTTTAGCCTTCCGAGAAAGATTCAGTATTTTTATTTCAAGAGTTTCCTTGATAACATCTTCTAAGAAACTAGTAAAACTATCCAGGAGCAGAACCCAGGGATCTGTTTCTTTATTTTTTGCCAGCTGTTTTAGGTACTCACACCTCCTTGGCCACAAAGAACATTGTCTGACTCTCCTAGTTGGCTGGTGGCCAGAGGGTTTTTCTTTTCTTTGGGATCCCATTCTTTCTAGGAATGCTAGACTCCATGGCTGCAAGAACCAGTTATCTGCTTCAGCTCGATGCTCTGTTTAAACCACTAGGAAGCTCTCTAGGGTTGCTGTGAATGTGGATAGAGGAACAGAGCCAAGAATTTACAGGGAAAAGATTGTGGGAAAAATTATTTCTTCTAAATTTCCTTCTCTGTGGACTTCTTTTCCTCTTTTAAGGAAACTCATTCCCATTGGTGTCTCCTGTTGAATTGAAGATCCAGGTTGCTATAGAACTGAGCCTGCTTTATGCGAAGATCTTTCTGTGGGGATTTAGGAGTTAGGAAAGCTGCTTTTATTTGTGATCTATTAGACGAGACTCTATACTTTCCTCTGCTGCTAGACACAGGGTTCCAGAATTTACAAGAGTTCTTCATCTCTTGAGAGAAGAGTTCCTCATGTCTTGTTATTCCAGAGAGTAATGTATATAGGGTGGGCATCTCTAAGGAGTGTTGAGAGATAAGTTGGTAGTAGTATCACCCAAAATGGTCACATCAGATAATCTACCTATACCTGGAAGTCTAATTGTAAAAAGGTCCCTTAGATGTTTTTTGCATCAAAAAATTTTTACTTTATTCTCATAGTCATTCAACAAATATTGAGAGTTTAATGTATGTCAAGCATTGTTTTGGACACTTGGGATAAATCAGTGAACAAAACACAAAAATTACTGTCCTCAAGAATTCAAGTGGAGAAAGCTTATATTTTTTTATCTACTTGCTGTCAAAAGACTAGGTTCTCTTTACTCTCATTCTTGACTCCCCAAGTTAGGGTTGGTTCTTTGCGTGGAACCTTAAACCTATTGAACCTCATGGGGCAGTTTACCTTTATAGAAGCTGTAGTTTCTAGATCCTTGGCAATGATTTTCCTTCCTTCTTACTCCTGGGTCTTTGTTAAACACATGCTTAGAGAGTATATTTGGCCGCTGTGAGGACTGTGGTTTTCTACGTAAGCCAGGAAAGAGAGATAGCAAAGCAACAGCCTTGTCTTTTAGCACAGGGGAGGGATATCGTCATTGTTAAGTAACTCAAGGAATGTGAGCCTTCAAATACCTGTATATATATACCACTTCCTCCCCTCCCTTCTCCCTCTCCTGATTAGCTGGTTCCCTAGAAGTTGCAGTAGAGGAGCTTTTTGCAAAGTGATATGCTTTGCAGTTGTTTGTGTTTGAGTGTAACTATTAAGGCTGCAGCTATGATTCCTTTATGAGAGCCAGTGTTGTTAAAATTTGATTCTTGATAGTGAAGGAACTCTCCTGCTTTTTATCTCCAGGTCCTAAACTGTTTCTTAGACAGATCCTCTTCTCATTGCTTAACTTCTCCAAAATTCAGATTGGTTTTTGTACTGGCAAATTAAATGGTGGTGGTCGGTGTGTAGTAGAGGAATTGGGATCATAGGGGAAGTCTTGGGAGATGGATGTCTCACTGGGCTGCATATCAGAACTGGGAGTGTGTGTGTGTGTGTGTACGTGCGCGCGCATGTTCTGCTCACTGTGTGGGTGGTTTAGAGAAGGCTTGCTTTATGCCTCTGCATTGCTACTGCATTGGGACTGCAGAAACTTCCAAGTACACTAGGACATTCAGCCTTGTTTTCAAATAGCCTTGTGCAGTGCCTATTAATTAATCGGGTCATATTCCATACCCACCTGTGCATGGGAGACCAGGGAGGGAGGGCAATTTGGAAAAATAACTGTAGCACAATATTTGGAAGTAGCAGCATGACCTACCTTGATTAAGCACTCTGTGAGTCTGGCTCAAAGAAACTTTATCTGATGCTGATTTGGAGTCCTTTGTTAAAATGCCTCCTGCCTCAATTTAGTTCTTTTATCACTTGGTCATTCTCAGTGGGAAGTGTCACAAATCTAACCGGGTTGGGTTAGAGGACTCACAGAGGCACCTCTCTATGCCCTTGCAGTCTTACTGAGAGTAGGAGAAGGTATCTGGTTTGCCAGTGGTGGCAGGAACCTGAATTCAGGACTGAAGGTATGTTCCTATCTCTTCAGGAACCCTCCCTGTATACTGTCAAAGCCATCCTGATTCTGGACAATGATGGAGATCGACTTTTTGCCAAGGTGAGATTCCCTTTCAAGTCAGTTTAGGAGTAAGACAGAGACTCTGAGAATTGAATCTTGGGCCTAGCCCTTTTAACTCATTCTTTGATACTGTAATTTTAAGAATTCTTTCATCTTTCCCATGTCTACTCCAGTTAAAACCTAAACTGTTTCTGTCTCTTAGTTGCCTTGCTTCTTTAATTGCCATCCTCAGACTTTGACTTCCTTTGTTATCAGCATCAGAGCAGAGAACTTTGGAACCTTGGTTTCAGAACAAAGCAGTGTCTACATGTGAGAAGCAGGCTGCCCATGCCCATTACTCCTGTCCCTTTCCCTTCGACCTGTTATCTGCCTGGGGTTTTCCAGGGAATTTTCTTGTTCCAGGGTTCCAGCCCTAGGTCCTCAGTTACCACCAAGCTTGTTACCTCCTGACTTCCCTAGTATGATGTTTCTAACTTTGGATATGTTAAAAGAGAAGAGAAAGGACACCCCTTTCCTCTCCCTCTATATTCTCCCCCTCCCGTAGAAATTTTTTCTGTCCCTGGTGTATTAACTCCTGGCGAGCATAACATAAATCAATCAGCAGGTAGAGATTAGTTTAGAATTCACCAGCTGTTCCTCCCTGTAATTGGATGTAACTATGCAGGACACCTTTTGAAACAGTTATCCAGTTACTAAATGCCAGACCTGTCATAGGTCTTCAGCTGACTGCGACGGATTAGCCCCTAAAGAGCAGAGCGATTTAGCAGCCTACTTTTCCACCCCTTGCCAGAGAAAGCTTGGGAGTGGGCTTAGCAATGCGCTAGATGCCTCCTGCCTCTTTCAGTTTGCAGAAAAGAAAGCTAAGAGAGCAAAGGGTAGGGTGTGCTTTTCTTTAGAGAAGGTTTTTGCAGCCTTTTTTCATTCCTCAGCTTTATACAATGAGTGAGGGTCTACAAGAAGTATTCTATGCTTTTAGTGCTTTTTGTGTTCTCTAATACTGCTCCCTGACATGGGGTAGCTTTTAGGAGGCACTCGATGAGAGTGGTCTTAGGATTGCTCTCCTAGAATACAGATGAGGCAGAACCTCATCATAGGACTTATAGGCCTCTATCCTTATAGTTTTAGACATGTAAGGTGGGGTTGCCTGGAGCAGGGCCCTAAAAAATTATTTTTATATTCAATTACTTACTGCCCATTCCCTGCTTCTGTAGTTCTTCCTTCTTCATGTCCATATTTCTTCCTTACCACATGCCTTGGAGGAGAGAAATGCAAGATCCAGGGCAAAACACAGTCACTAATCATTCTGGGCTCCCAGTGCTAATGACCCAACCCATCTCCTTTCCCTCTGACCAGTACTATGACGACACCTACCCCAGTGTCAAGGAGCAAAAGGCCTTTGAGAAGAACATTTTCAACAAGACTCATCGGACTGACAGTAGGTCATTTTCCTTTCACTACTCCCTGTGTTGGAGGAACCGTGGTGGGAAGGGGGTAGTGACGGGACTGCAGAGAAGGATAAAATGACTGCTCCTTTTTCTCTTTTTCCCTCCTCCCCTCATATAATAAACTTTTCAGAAATGTAATGGGGAGGTGAGTGTACCTCACGCGGGAATACCGTGCTGGAAGGTTGGCTGTTAGCTACCTGTCTAGTCCCTGGATTTATGAGCCTCACTTGACAAATTTAACTGCAGCTCTGCTTATTGTACCGCATCCATTAGGGCAGGTAAATGGAAGTCTGTAAAGGTGACCGCTCTGCATTTTCACCTCCAAAGGATCGACTAGTATCCTGTCTCTTATTCAAGGAGGGAAGTAAGGGTAGTGGGGGGAGGGTGGTTAGAGGAGAAGATACATTTAGACTTCTCCAAGTTTATACTTCCCCTCTGCTACTGCCTGAAAAGAAAAAACAGGTCAACTTCGATCTTTGGGGGTCATTATGACCTACATTATCTCAGCCCAAAACAGCTGGATACCAGGAGTTCCTGGTAACTCTTCTGTCCCATTTCCTTTTCTCAGGCTACCCACTGTTTCCACCTTTTTTCTCCCCAGGTGAAATCGCCCTTTTGGAAGGCCTGACAGTAGTATATAAAAGCAGTATTGATCTCTATTTCTATGTGATTGGCAGCTCCTATGAAAATGAGGTGAGGCTCCCCACCCCTCTTTGCTATCTCTGATCTCACTTTCTAAACCACAGACCTATCAAATTAATCAACCTAGAATAGAAGTTTTCCTATATTTCTTTTTTTTCTCCGTGTAGGAGATACCATATATGTTTAAATACATACTAACATATAATATCAATGATCTTCTCTGTATAGTGTGTTTTAAGATGGATTTCTGTGGTATGATCAAAGTTGAGGGATGCTTGCTCCTGCTATTATGGTCGACAGTTGACTGAGTTTTGTCAATTAGCCAACATTTTGGGTCATGTTGAAGCCATAAATTCTGAATGAGTGTAGTCCTTGAGACTTATACACTTGAGAAGACTGGATTTATTCTTAACCTGCTTCCTATCACAGGAAAAGCTATTTACCTCAGGTAACAAGTTCTAGAAGAATAGATAAGAAAAAAATAAGCCCCCATATAATTTGAGGCAAAAATGAAAGTTCGAGAAAACCAGCTCTTACTAAGCTCTTATTGCTATAAGCACTTCGTAAAGTACATTGTTATTTAAACCATACAGCACTTCTGTGAATTGTAGGCATTGGTGTTCTTGTTTTATAGATGAGGAAACCAAACCATGAAGAACCATATAAAATTACTAGTATTTGACCACTGTTGAACTACGAAAGTGACAGTTGCATTTGGTTCCAACTAATTGTCCCAGGGTTACACATCTAGAAAATGGCTCAGCTAGGATTTAAACCCAGATCTGTCATACTCCAAAGCCCATGCTCATTCCACTAACTCTAACCTCAGCTATCACTTGGTTAATGATTTCTCTATGTAAGACATTGGGTAACACAGTTGGTAAAGACATGTAGAGGACTCTGACAGGAAAGGTCTGTTGGAACAATTTGATCAAAGAGAGACATCAAATTGTGGGCTCATGTGGCAGAATTTATTTCTGTGAGAAACCACAGATCCTCTTTCTGTTTTGCCCTCCTTTCTTCTTTAGGCTTTTGGTCCTCTGTGAAAGTCCATGTCTTTTGATACTTAATGAATTAGAGGGTTTTGTTTTCAGGTAGCAGCTTTCAGATCCTTGAACCTTATCCTTCTGTTTCTTCTGTCTCCCAATAGCTGATGCTCATGGCTGTTCTGAACTGCCTTTTCGACTCACTGAGCCAGATGCTAAGGTGAGCAGTCCATTCTTGACATCTGTTTGTGAGAGAAAGTCACTATTCTTGTGACAGAAAGGCCCAGGGATTTTTTTGGGAATCAGCAAAGGCTCCAGGAAGCTGATTTACCTTGAGAAGTTGGGCTTATTATTTCAGACTAATTCTCACTTATGGGGAAGACCGGATAGAGAGGAGAGTATTTCCCTCTATGGAATAATTCTCCTATGGAATGGGATTGGGAGGGAGCAGAATCTTTACCTCTATTTATTCTCCCATGGCTCTGTCAGAGTTCTGAGCACCCTCAAAATGCTGTCCTGGGTTTCATTCTTTACATTAGAAGTAGGGAATGGGCATGCTTAGAGAAATGTCCCAGATGAAACATCAGTACCTTGGGAATGGAGGCAATGCTCCCAGTTTTTCAGTTCTACTGCTTAGTTTTTTCCTTTCTGTAGAATAGGAAGAATGTACCATTTACCCTCCCCTTCCACCTTTCCACCAGCCCTCTGTTCCCCATGTAGATGGGCAAGAAAAAAGATATAAGATACTTTTCCCGAAAACATACAGGGCTCTGAACTTCATTCCTCTAGCAGCTCCCAAGTGAACCCAGCATAGACAGCCAACCGGAGCAGAACAACAGGCATTCTCAGCCCCACAAAATCAGCAGGGTGAATGGCTCATATTTCCTCAGGAAGGGGATGATTTATTCCTTAGCCAGGTGAATGAATAGAACTTCATTTCAGATGATGTAGTGAAAGAGTCAAACTGACGGATGTGACTGGCCACTTGTACCAACCACCGGATCTGAGGCTGGTGCATGCAGGCCCTAACTGTTCCCAGCCCCATAGTTGGGCTTCTTTTCAAGGTCTGAGCAGAGCTTGTGAGGGAAGTAAAGGAGAGGGAGCAAAAGAGGCTTAGAAGTTTTGTCAGCTTGAGTGCAAACAGGGTTTGCAATCAACCCCTCCCCACCTCCTGCCACCTCCAGATTGAGTTTTAGCTCTGTTTATTTCCTTTTTTCCACTCGCTGATGTCAGCATTTATGAGCAATATCACGAGCAGCATCATGGCAGATAGGAAAGAACAATAGCTCTGGATAATCAGCCCTTGAATAGTCAGAAATTAATTGTATTTTTTGAATCTCTGACATTCGTGATCCTTTCTCAGCAAACAAGAGTAGGAAGGGGTTTAGAGTGGATTAGCTAAAAAGTTCTCATTTACCTTATTTACTTCTTTGTGTGGTTGATGGAGACATTTATTGGTCTAATTTAGGATCCTAAATCAGTGTCCTAGGATTCCTTTCATACATGGACTAGTTTTTCTCTTTTCTTGGGGACTCAGGAAAAATGTAGAAAAGCGAGCTTTGCTGGAGAACATGGAAGGGCTCTTCTTGGCTGTGGACGAAATCGTAGATGGAGGGTGAGTTCTCTGACTTGCCTTGACCTCTAGGGTGAGCGGGGTGGAGTAACTGCCCCCATCCTAAGGCAAGGAGGCCGAGTGGCTAAAGTGTCCCCACACTAAGTTGGTCCTTCAGGACAGAGTAATGATGATCTCTTCTTTGTCTTTGTAGGGTGATCCTAGAGAGTGATCCCCAGCAAGTGGTACACAGAGTGGCATTAAGGGTAAGCAGGAGCGTATTCCCCTACATCCCTCCATATACTCACTCTCCAGGGCCACACCAGCTGAATGTATCTAAGTGTCTGGGCTTATAGAATACATACAACCTTCTCCTTCCCTTTCAAATTGTCATTGTCCCAAAGAAAAGAAGCAGATGAACAGTATTTTTGCCCCTAACCTGGTACCTAGCATCTCATCCAGTCCTTGCATAGAGTGGACATTTAATGCATACTTATCGAATCAATAATGAAATAAAAGAAACTTTAATATTGATGGTTCTGACTCTATAAAGAACTCGAAGTTGACTTATTCTTCCTTTAGGGGTGGATCACAGTCATTTGAGGCAGACAAGTGTCTTCCTTATCTTTTAAGGTCCTATAAAACTGAGGACAGCACCTCTCCATCAGGAAGTACTCAATTGCCGGAACCTCAGTCTTTTTTGGTGCTAGTGATATCAGAAAGAGGTCTCTGAGTTAACCTTAGAAGGCTCCAAGTCCTCAGGAGAGATAATAGTGGTTGCAGAGAGAGCCCACCAGCAAATTGTGGGGGTGCAGAGCTGTCTGATCAAAGCAAATCTCCCCATTCACAGAATGTCCCAGCTCTGACCTCCACAGAGTGAAGGCTGACAGTGTCGGGTAATGGGAAATCTTCTCCCTTAACTGCCGTGGGCTCCATTTGCATAGTTTAATCTTCTCCTCTAACATATGTCTCTATGTGGCAAGAGAGAGGGTCCCCCTCCACCAACTCCCTCCTTCCTCTTCTCAGGCTGCTGTTGCAGCAGTTTATTTCTTCAAATTAACATGCTGTCATTACCCATCAGGCCTTGCGGGATCCATTAAACTACCCCTGGCTCCCCCTTATCCTTTCCCTAGTGATATTGATATTCAGGGAAGGTCTTATCTGACTAGGGAATCAGGTTCCTCCACCCCTAAGGTATGGATCAGATAACTTGCTAATTATTTGGAATGGAATAAATCTTTTAAGAAGTCCTCTTGCTTTAAAATAGAAGATGGGTGAAATGACCATTTTTTGCTCACAGTGCCTCTGGCCAAGTAAAATTGTGGCTGTACTAGTCCCTAGAAGGGACTGAGAAGTTTTAGGCTTCTGCCCATTGCTTCAGTTTAAAGGACCACCTCTTCCTTCCCCACTACCCAACTTCAATCAGGTCTTAGTCCAGCTTTCTCTCATACTGAATGCTTGTCTCTCTGTGCCATAGGGTGAAGACGTCCCCCTTACGGAGCAGACCGTGTCTCAGGTATGACTTTCTTCCTTCCTCCTCTCCAGATGGACTGGGTTCCTAAAGAGGCTAGAATAGCATTCCATCCCAACCCACCAAGTCTGAATGAGATTAGAGACTGAAGACACATCTTCCTTGGCTCCCTCTTATTGCAGAGAACTGGGTCTCATACAGCCAGATGCCCCCTACCCCACCCCAGCTACCATCTCAGTCTCCTGTGAGCAGTGTCTGCCAGCCTTGGTGTGTACCCTTCAAACCCCTTCAAACTCTTCTTGCCTGATGCCTCATTCAGTGATTTATTCCCCAGCAGAGGCTTGCCTTAAGCAGATGGTCTGTGTGCTAGTACACGCATGCGCACGCGCGCTCTCTCTCTCTCCCTCCCTCTCCCTTTCCCTCCCTCTCCCTCTCTCTCCCTCTCCCTCTGTCTCTCTCCCTCCCTCTCCC